CGGACAGGAAAGCAAGCTTGTACTGCCGGTCCTCCAGGACATCACTGCCAAGGGCAGGAGCACCCACGACGTACGAAGGACGGGCAGGGTCAGAGAATAGAGTGGTGGCATAGTCAAGGCGTCGGGTAGAGGCGAAGTCAGCGACGGCAGCGACAAGCGCGTCAAGACAGCCGTGCATCCCCCGTCGATGCCCCCAGTGGAGGAGTCGAAGACCGTCAAACACGCGCTGCAAGGACCACACAGGGAGAAATGAAGGGAGGCAATGGACAGGGAATGCGCGGTAGTGCACAAGCTCAACACCTGGAAACTGATCCCGATTTCTCAAACCAAGGGAAAAACAATCCTGTCGAGGAAATGGGTCTTCCAAGTAAAGACCAAGGGAGATGGGACCATCGATCACTTCAAGGCATGATAGGTCTATCGCGGATTTGATCAACACTACGGCAGCGACTACACAAAGACAATCGCTCCCATTAGCCACCACACTTCCCTTCGAATCCTCCTCGTCGTTGCCGCCGCTCGCCGACTTCCTCTGCGACAAATCGACGTCGTCACCGCATTTCTCTACGCCCCGGTCGACGTTGACATCTTCGTTAAGCAAGCACACACCTACGTCGACGACCCAACGATGGTCTGCCAACTGCTCAAATCCCTCTACAGGATCAAGCAGGTCCCATGCCTGTGGCAGCAGTACCTGCACCGAATCCTCACCAACATGGGCTTTGCCCAGCTACCGCACGACTAGGGCTGTACCGCCTATCCCGCAGCAGTGACTATGTCCTGCTAATTGTCTACGTGGACGATCTACTTTACGTCGGCTCCACTACTTCCATCACCGTCTGGTTTGAGGGCAAGATGGAACTCCAGCTCACGATCACGCTGTCACCGACCGTGATGCAGTATCTCGGCCTCAGCGTCACTGACGGCCCCGACACCATTAATCTATCGGCCTCGAAGTACGCCGACACCATCGCTTGCAGATTCGATCTGTCCCCGCTATCTCTCGCTACTCTGTACACCTACGCGCATCCGCGTCGACCGCCTCGCTACTCGCACCATCCGGTGTCCAGGAGTACCAGCAAAAGCTCGGCTATCTGCTATTCGCCGCCGTCACCTGCCGTCCCGACCTCTCCTACGCCGATAGCCAGCTCGCTACCTACCTTAAGTGACCTGAAGGGGGGAATCTGGCCGAACTCGACCTCGCGCTCCACTACTTCGTCTCGACCCTGGCGATCGGACTAACCTACCACAAGAACGCCGCTACTAAAATCGAACTCATTGGCTACGTCGACGCCGATCACGCCAACGATAAGGACAACTGCCGCTCACGCACAAGCTACATCTATCACCTGGAACCTATCGGAACTATTTCTTGGCATCTCTCATATGCTGACGCTGCATATATCGCCCTCTGCTCAGCTACAAAGGAAGGACTGTACCTGCACGAGCTGCTCAAAGAAGCGAAGATTGTCGAGTTACCGAGCTTCTCTCTCTTCTGCGACAACCAATCGGCAATCAGATTTGACAACAAAAATGGATTCGCAAATAGGACGAAGCACATCTCGCTTCGTTAGTTTTTCGTGAAGGACGAGATCGAGCAGGGTCGCCTCCAATTGGTCTATTGCCCCACCACCGAAATGGCAGCTGACTACTTGACCAAGAAGCTGATGAAGGCCAAGATCCGGTACTACATGCTGCTGACTGGGCTGCAACACATCAGCGACCCCAACCACATCAACACTCCAGAAATGAAGAAGGGTGTTGGAAATGTTGTAAAGACTTAGGGCATTTCCGGAGTCTCGTGTGAGTGTACGAATACGCAAAGACAACAACAATGGGGATCACCGAGTCAACACTGCTACAGTACCACCGACAGTTGACGTGGGTTGAAGACAACCCGCAGAGGTTACGAAAGGCCAACGGTCGCAGACCGTTGACCGTGCAAACCAATTGTCAGAATCTGAAGAGTCAAGAGTTAGCGTGACAGTAAGGACAAATAATTGACCCGGTATTACAGTACGGGTGGTTACCCAAGTCGCGTTTATCAAGTCGTGAAAGGGAATGTACCCCTCGAAGTGCAAAATAGTTAGACTCTTCATATTCTCATGTATTAGTATATAAACCTTGCATCCCTTTGCTATAATCAATTGCTTGTCCTCACATACCTGTATAAGGGTTCAACTCAAGACTCCGCTGTGCTATGAAGCACTCTGCTACAAGGACTTAGCATTCTGAAAAGATCCTAGGGCTATTGTCAGCCCAACATCGTTATCAGAGTATTTTACCCTGATGCTCTGATTTCACAGGGTATTTTTTTTACCAACCCTTATTTTCAGGGTTGGACTTTTCTTGACCCTAGCCCCTTCGGGGTTGTAAGTTTCTGAACACTTGGGATTTCAGGGATTACGTTATGCCAATGCTGAGTTTTCAGGAAGCAACGTGTACGAACCCTGAGTGTGACATCCATGTACCTCACAGTCCTGAAATTTTGGCGAAGTCCCCAATCTCTGGAGACATTACCCCCACACACACAACAACCTACAAAAATCGGCTAAGACCTATAGTACAGACATCCCCCCTACACACCCAACAACCCACAAAGAATCGGCTAAGTCCTAATAGCCAGAGATATCACCCTCCTCAACAAAATTTTGTCCAAGTCCTCGTGTACAGACATTCCCCCTCCCACACTCCCGCAACCCATATAACTTGGCTAAGGCCTCAACATCACCCCCATACTCCCCACGAACCCAGAGAATTTGGCAACCCAGTGGAGCAGTGAAATTCGTACATGGAAATGCACCCCTACCCTTAGCAAGGGTACTAGTGACAACGCCTTAGCATGACAAGATCCTTGCCTCTAGCAGCAATCGTTCCTTTCGGGGGAAATTCCGCCAGCTGCTTGTCAGATGTAACTAAATGCCCAACACGCTTTGACGGTCATGATCGACTGTGATCGTTTCGACATTTATCGATCGTAGATGAATTCTTATGATTAACGGCCCTTATTTCTCTTGCCATTTGAAGTCAAATCCATGATGTTGCAAGCAAGCAAAGTCGCTCCCACGCATGGCGCTCATTGGCCAATTGCGAGGGCTTTGTCTCCCTCCCCTCTCTTACGTCCGCCCTTCCCCTCGATTTCGATCCCCCCCGATTTCGATCCGCCTCTCACCTCCGTTTTGATCATCGTTCCCCCTTCGTTTCGCTTCCCCACTCCCCTCGGTTTTTGAATTCCCTCCCCCTTTCCCCTTGATTTCAAATATTCCATCCCCTCCTTTCAACTTCCCCCCCTCACTTGAGCTGTGAGCCATCCGATTTTCACTTCGTCTGGGAAATCAGAAATAGACATCCCCACCCCCCCCCCACCCACCCTACCCCCCCTAGTCTAACTGCTTTAGGAAAAAGGCTAGCAGCAGTCCGGGCATGCTTTCGGCCGTTGCTGAATTCGACCCTGATTGTGTTCTGTGAACCCTGGGAATTTCAGGGTTTCAGGTTTCTTAACACTGACAGTTCAGGGTATATCTGGCGCCACCTATGGAACCAATTTGACACCAAAATACAGTTTTCCTTCGTCTACCACCCACAGATCAACGAGCAGACCGAACGATGTAACCCAACCATGGAAAAAACCCATTTGGACTACCTGTACCGACACCCAGACGTGGGAGAAATTCCCTTCCACTGCTCGAATTCGCATATAAAAGTGCGCTTTCTAGAAAGTGGCATGCATAGTCTAGGAATTAACTATTGCAGCCTAGACGAGTCTTCCTTGTACTGCTGTTGCTGACGACATTCATAGAAATGATGAGATATATCTGTGTTGGTAGAAACCATGGCTCTAGTTGCTTTTCGTTAGGTGTGCTGTCAATTATTCAGCTGCGCTGCTTGGCTGGCTTGCGTGCTCTCTGTAGTTGTTCCCAAGGTTGGAAACTCAGATTGACTGGTTGAACAATTCGAGGTTGGGTTCAACCTTCGAATTGCCCAAGGGTGTGTTCCGAGGTTGGGTTTCGACCTCGAAATGAAATTGAGTTCAGTTGGCGAAATCGGGAGTGACGATTTTGCCTCCGTCTTGTTACATGACTCCCCTCCCCAGCAAGCACCATCCTCGGTGCTTGGGCAGCTGCAAAGTAGTTGGACAGGGTACGTTGAGCATGCTGGAGGCTTGTCTCAAGAATCCAGAGGTTGTGAGAAGAATCGTGGCCACGGCACTTAACAAGGAAGAAAGTGCCATGAGGAGAGGTTTCGCGAGAGAGGATTTTCTCAACTTCAAAGAGGTCAGGGCTTGGGGTGAACATGGGAGGACGTTGAGGTGGAGGGGTGAGAGGGAAGTGGGTTAGGGGAAAATGATAAGGACGGAGTAGCTGAACTTGGAAAACTGGGTGGATGTTGATGCGTGGAGGTAGTTTCAAGCGATAGGTAACAGGAGAGAGGACTTGAGTGATAGGAAAAGGGCCAATGAAACGAGGAGCAAATTTACGAGTAAGACCAGATTTGAGTAATGGCAGCAGTTGAGAGAAGGACTTGGTCACCTTTATGAAACTGGATGTTGCGACGATGTTGATCAGCATACCGGATAATACGTGCTTGTGCTTTCAGCAAGGATGCTCGAGCTGCTGCAATAACCTTCTCGTGGGTGGAAAGGAATTTAGCTGCTGCTTGAGTGTTAGGAGTGCGTACAAGGGATGCTGGTGTGCGAGGTTGTTGTCCTGTAGCAAGGAAGAATGGAGTTTGGCCAGTGGCAAGATTGGGTGTGCTGTTGTAGGAGAATTCGATTGAAGGTAGGTGCACGTCCCAATCATTCTGCCGTGCATTCACACATGCACGAAGGGCATCTTCAAGGTTCGATTCATTCTCTCTGTCTGGCCATCCGACTGAGGATGATAGGCAGTAGAGAGGCAAATCTTGCTGCCCAGTCGTTGAAAGAGGGACTGCCAGAATCTGCCAACAAATCGCGAGTCACGGTCACTGATAATGACGCAGGGAATGCCATGAAAACGTACCACTTCCTTGAAGAAGAGATCCGCTATAGCTTTAACAGTTGCATTTGTACAGGTAGGAAGGAAGTGAGCCATCTTGCTGACTTGTCGACTACAGTAAGGATAGTGTTGTAATCAGAGGAGGTGTGAGGGAGATCAGTGATGAAGTCGAGTGTGACATGACTCCAAGGAACTTGATGAATTTCCAAGGGGTGAAGCAAGCCGTAGGGAGCTGCGTTGCGAGCTTTGTTGCACTGACATGCGTGACAGCTGCGTATGTAGGAACGAATGTCATGAGAGAGCTTGGGCCAAAAAAAGTTTGCAGAAATGGATGCAGGCGTTTTGTCCACTCCAAAGTGTGCATTCTGGTCATGATGCTCGCGTAGCAGGAGGTGATGCAGCTTGTGGTCTGCTGGAACACAGATGGCTTGGGAATCTGCCTTATACCAGAAAGGGGATTCATAGTAGACAGATGGATCGTTAGCAGCAAGATTGAGATAGAAAGGGTCACGATGATAACCTTTGATGAACTTGCCGATGAAGCTTTCATCCCATGTAACACTGCCGATTCTGGTGAGATGAAATTGCGGAGGCCAGGTTAGACAATCAGCAGGGTTGAGGCAGCCAGCGCGATACTCGATTTTCAGCTTAGGTACGTACTGCTCCAGATGCTCCATCCATCGGGCCTGTCTAGGGGTGAGATGAGGTTGTGTCTTCAGGTATTGTAGGGTGCAGTGGTCAGTAAGAACCGTGACGTGTTGCATATGGACATAGCAACGCCACTTCTTGATTGCATGGATGATGGCCAGCGCCTCACGATCGTGAGTAGCATAGTTGCACTAAGTAGGCTTGAGCTTCCGAGAGTCGAAAGCAATTGGCCGCAGCCATGTCCTTGATCCTGACAAAGGATTGCACCCGTTGCAACCTGAGAGGCATCTGTCCATGTCATATAAAGGAGGGAACGGTTGGGTAGGACAAGGGTAGGAGAGCAGGTTAGTGCCCACTTGATAGAGTCAAATGTTTTCTGCTGGTCCGAATGCCCACGGAATCCTTCATTCTTGCAAGAGATAGGGGGAGGTGATAGCAGCAAAGTGGCGGATGAATTTGCGGTAGTAGTTAGCAAGGCCAAGGAAGGCTTGTACAGTGACGGAAACAATTGTCCGGATGTTTTGCATTCAATAGGTTTTTTCAGCTTTCCGACCTGTGTACATAAACTCTTAGTATTAAATGGTGGTACGCTTTGGGAGGGCACATAGTGTTAGAAATAGACGGCAAATACCACTTTTGTATTTGTACTTTTATATCCTAGTTTAGGTTGTGAATGTTCTAGTGGGTTGGGGTGTACTCACAAATCTCAACCTCACCCAATTGTGATCCCCACAATCTCCAATTACCCAATTGGAGATTCCGGAGATCCCAATGGGGATTCCCTCCAATTCCCCCTTCATCCATTCTCTCACACCTTGCCATGTACTTATAGAGCCTTGGGCTCCTTTCCTAATCAATCATTTCAACTCTATTTCTTACATCGTATCAGAGCGACCTATCCGCACACGCGGATCAAGGTCCTAATCTGAACGTGCCCGCGCTACGCGCACTTCATCGTCGCGACATTCGTTTCGAGTCGTCGGAATTTCGACGTGCTCCACTCTGCAGTCGCGCCTCTCATCGTCGACCGCCTTTGCGCTCGACCTCGTTGAATTTCTCATCTCTGAAGCGTTCACGGTTCTCGTCGTCGATTTCCTCCTCGGTTCTCCTTGGTCGAATCTCAATTTCGACCATCTCTTTAAAACTCGTTCTCGAGTTTCCCCTCAGACCCCGCCAGAATAGGCGAACTCCCCTCGCGAAATCGCCTCCACGAACGTCTCGCGTCAAATCAAGAGCAGGTACACAGGTTGAAGTGGAGCGGAGCTGGTTGCGGAGCTGGTTGCGGAGCTGTGTAGCCGCGGGACAGGGCCTGGGGTGTGTGGGGGGTGTGTGGGTCCGGGGTTAGACATAGGCTCAGATTCAGTTTCAAGTCGGCGTTTTAACAAATTTTCGCGACGCCATTTCCTACTTAGCGGCATTTTGATACAGCCGTCAGAGTGATTTTCAGCAATTCTCGTCGACCAATTTCCAGAAGTGCCGCGCTGCACACCGACAATGGCTTACTCAACCACTTCACTCGCCAACCCGATCCCGCTCCTTCGTCTCGAGCCGGACGGCACATGCTCCAACTACAAGGCTTGGCGCTATGGTGTCGACAAGCACCTCCTCAGTCGCGAGGTGAAGGGGCTCGAGCTCACCGACGTCCTTCTCAACATCGGTGACGGCAAAGAGCCTCCTAAACCCGAGAGGTCCGCCGATCCAGCTAATGCCGCCGCCGAAGCAGTTTATGCTGCTGCACTGCTCAAGTACAAGAATTGGGAGAAGGCCGATGGTGCGGTCATTAGTGTCTTCATGGGCACCACTCCTCCCGAACTCGTCGAAACCTACCACAATACCGTCTGCCAACGCCATTTGGCTCTACCTCGAGATCGCTTCCTGAACAAGACTGCAGTGGGAGTTGCTATACTCATCCCCAGCATGTTCCAAGTGCGGCTCGAGGACTCGCCAGGCATGGCGGACTATGTCACCAAGGTGCAGTCCATTCATGGTGAACTCAAACAGTTGGGGATAGTCTTCCCCGAGCAAGCCTGCAGCCGCTCTCCTAGTCGCCTCACTCCGGCATACGAAGTCACACGCAAGATGCTCTTGGGCCTTGCTCCTGCAGACCTCACATTTGCCAAGGTCTCATCCGCGCTCCTTTCTGCCGAAAAGGACAACAGCGCTCAAGCCAAGGCCAATGCAATCCGCGCTCCCGTGCCTCAAGCCTATGCCGCTTCGGCGCCATTCCAGCGCAACCGCTTCCCCCTGTCCCTACATCATCAAGCGCGGCCCTCGTGCTGGCCAGGTGTGTGGCGGCACCAACCACGGCCTTGCCTCCTGCTTTAAGAAGAAGGATGACGAGTGGTATGCCGTCAATGGGACCGCCTCCAAGCCGCCAAGCTGGATGGTCAATCGTGCTCCTCGCCAAGTCAATCAATCGAAGCGCAGGAATCCGTGCAGGCTGCTGTGGCTGCACCTGCTGATGA